GTGTGTGTGTGTGTTGTGTGTGTGTGTTTGTGTGTGTGTGTGTGTGTGTGTGTGTGTGAGGAGAGTCCACCACATCAGCATCAACTTGCTGTAAAGACTAAAAAGCAGCTGCTGGAGTTTTCTGCAATGAGATGCTGAAAGTGAAATTAAACGAGAACCTCTGGGGCTGAAAAATGAAGCAAACACAGAAATGCCATTAGCTGCAGTTGTTTGAGTGGCCTTACCATATCCCACTGGATATTGTTGCTGGGATTGACAGGTGTACTGCTGTAGCCAAAAGCTCTAACTGTGTATCTGTGGTATTTTTTTTTTATTTTTTTTATTTTATTTATTTATTTATTTGTTTTTATCCTGTCCCATTTGGTTCTTTAGCCGCCAGAATTGTTGTCTGAAGACCAACAAGGAGACCCAATGGATTTACTTTGCCAAATGGATCATCGTGGCATTGCCGTATTGGTCCATTTGATCGACCTTTGTTGTTATTATTTATTTTATTTTATTTTCAGTTGTTACAGACGGGACAGACATGAGTGAGGGATAGGAAAGGGAGAAAGAAAGATGAAGGAAAAGAAAAACAGAAGGGAAGAGGGACAGTGAGAAAGGGCACTTAAAAAGAGAAAGAAGAGAAAAAAATCTCCTGGATCACCTGTTGAGAGAAAAAGAAGAGAAAACAAGCAAAAAAACAGAGCAACATACTAAACACAACACCATCACGTTAATCTAGCTAAGTGTAAACAGCAGTAAATACTAAATATTGAATGTTGTTGTGTAGCAAGCAGGACCGACAGCGCACAATGTGCTTGGAAATAGCAGCCAATAAAGGTGTAGTTTATGTCTACGAACAGTGAACACCCGTGTGCACACCTGTGTGGATCAGCGCGCTTGTATTCAAAAGATTTCCCATGTAATGGTCTGCTAGTGCACTGAAGATGGCGCCGAGTATGGCAGCCTCGTCGCGAGCTCCCCCAAGCAACAGCTTTTTTCTGTGTTTAATTTTACTTTTCCTTTATTTTTTCACGACTAGCACATGTCTCCTTGTGTACGACCGACAAACCTTACTGGACATAAAAGACGGTCTTTCTTATAACTTTCCGGAGTTCAAGTTTTGCAACACGGACGCTCCGTTTGCAGACCCCCCATTCATCTCACCTGAGACGCCTTTGTTCTCTGTCCCTGGAGGCCGCAAACGCCGACGCAGAGGGAGAAGATCTGGCGTTCTGGTTCGACTGAGACGGCGCACTAACAGACCACCGTTACCCAGTTTATTACTGGCTAATGTGCAGTCTCTGGAGAACAAGCTGTGCGAGCTTCGGGCACGGATCTCATTCCAGCGAGAGATGCGGGACTGCTGCGTGATCTGCCTCACAGAAACCTGGCTATCGGACAAGGTACCGGACTCCGCAATACAACTACCGGGGTTCTCCGTGCACCACGCGGACAGGTATTTATTAGTTTCAGATGTAGCCATTCTTGTATTTTGCTTGTTTACATTATTGTATTTTGCACAACTCTGTTGCTTGTGAAGCTCGCACACAAGAATTTCACTCACATGTACTGTACCAATGTACCTGCACATGTGATGTGACAATAAAAGTGATTTGATTTGATTTAGAGCAGTAGTTCCCAAACTACCGTACGCGTACCCTCGGGGGTACGCAAGTGGCTGTAGGGGGTACGCGTGGGTTGGGGTTGGAGTGGGGATCAAAAGTTTTAAAAGCCGAAATTTGCGCTAATGCAGTTTTATTTGCCTGTCAAATACATGACTATATACCACCCTCTGGTGTTCAGCAAAAAAATAGCTCTGACAAAATACATGGGCGTGATTTGCCCAAATGACTGACACCTAACAGTTGAAGTTGCCTCCAAGCATTCAGTGCAGCGCGAAAATGGACAAGTGGTTAACAAGAAAAAAAGGCCCTACCACAGAGACACCGGCCACAACAACCAATAAGCTCATATCTGAAGATGCATTTTCCAGTGACCGCACAGGTGATTGTTCAACAACAATGTGTTCGTCAGATTTGGATGCTAGCAGTGCTAGCAGGGATGTATCTGTGGTTACTAGCCAAGTGGCTAACATAGCTGGAGCCAGCCATGTGGAAAGTGATGAAGTGTCTGATGCAGAGCGTCAAAGTGGGAGAAAGCATGACAGCTCGGACTGTAACACAACCTCATCAAAGAAGCGCAAATATGATGACAATTATATTTCGCTGGGGTTTACGTGTATAAATATTGGTGGATTTCCCCGGCCACAGTGTGTTATTTGTGCAAAAGTATTGTCTCAGAACTCAATGAAACCTTCACTTTTGCGCAGACATTTAGAGACAAATCATCCCCATTTGAAAAATAAACCAAGGGAATATTTTGAGCGACAGCTAAAATCACTTTCAACAAGTAAAACCTGCATTCAGGTGCCAGATCTTATGAATAAAAACAGACTACAAGCATCGTACATGGTCAGTTACAGAGTGGCTAAAAACAACAAACCCCACACTATTGTGGAGGACCTCATTCTCCCTGCTGCTTTAGATATGGTAGGGACAATGTTGGGGGAAAAGGCAAAAAAGACGATACAGTCCATTCCATCATCAAACAATACTGTCTCACGGCGCATCAATGCAATGTCAGAAAATGTTTTACAGCAGCTACTTCTGCGCATACGCCACAGTGAATGTTATGCAATACAGCTAGATGAGTCCACGGATGTGGCTGGCCTGGCGCATCTTCTCGTATATGTGCGCTACATTCATGAAGGAACCATCAAGGAGGACATGCTGTTCTGTAAACCACTGGAACAAAGGACAACTGCCGCAGATATTTTTCAAAAGCTGGACACATTCATGAACACACATGGACTCGTGTGGGACAGATGTGTTGGCATCTGTACTGATGGCGCACGGGCCATGACTGGGAGACACGGAGGTGTGGTTTCGCGTGTGCAAGCAGTCGCGCCAGATGCCTCCTGGGTACACTGCAGCATCCACCGAGAGGCTCTTGCTGCAAAGGGAATACCTGTCCGTTTGAAACATGTTTTGGACACGAGTGTAAAAATGGTTAACTTTGTGAAAGCCAGGCCGCTGAACTCCCGCTTATTTGCTGCGTTGTGCAATGAGATGGGCAGCGAGCATGAGACATTATTACTCCACACAGAGGTTCGCTGGCTATCTAGAGGGAAAGTGCTGACCCGTTTCTTTGAGTTGAGGGATGAACTTAAAGTTTTCTTCAGTAACCATCCCTTTGAGCTGTCTGAACATTTGCATGATGAAGAGTACCTTACCTGCCTGGCTTATCTGTGTGATATATTTTCTCGTCTGAACGAGCTCAATCTCGGATTACAAGGCGTTTCTGCAACTATATTCAATGTTCAAGATAAAGTTGAGGCCATGATAAAGAAGTTAAACCTTTGGAAGAACTGCTTGGATACAAACAACACTGAAGTCTTTCCTGTGCTGCATGATTTTCTGTGCTCTAATGATCTCACACTATCTAAAAGTGTAAAGCGCGAATGTAACGTGCACCTTGAGGAGCTGGCGGTGCAGTTACGCCGATACTTCCCAGAGACGGACGGCTCAAATGATTGGATACGTCACCCGTTCACCGCTGTGCCTACTTCGTTATCACCGTCTGACCAGGAGAGCCTAATTGAAATTGCCACAGATGGATCTCTAAAAGTTGAACACGCTCAAAAGAACCTGGCGGATTTCTGGATAGGCTGCGCACTGAACAGCCCGCGCTGGCTAAGCGCGCTGTCAAGACTCTGATGCCTTTCGCCACCACATACTTATGCGAAAGGGGATTTTCTGCTTTAACAAACATGAAAACAAAATACAGAGCAAGACTTTGTGTGGAAAACGATTTAAGACTCAGCCTTTCCCAAATTGAGCCAAACATTGAAGAGCTGTGTGCCTCTGCTCAAGCACATCCATCACATTAAATAAAGTTCTGTTTAATGAAAGTTCATGGCCTTTATGCTCTCGACAAAAAAGTGAATTCTAATAAATCCTTTGATACACTGCTAGTATTAAGTAGTAAAGTTTGTTATTAAAACTCTGTCATTACTAAAAAATATTGATAAATTCATTTGGTGGTGAGAAATAATCGACTGTGCAGTATTTATTTTTATGCATGCGATATTGCAATGTATTTATAGACACTAATTAAGAGTCGTTCGTAGTAGGGGGTATGCGGCTGAGGGTGACATGTCTCAAGGGGTACGTGGCTGGAAAAAGTTTGGGAAGCACTGATTTAGAGGGTGTAGAGAGTCATAGCCCCGCCCCCCAGGGCATGAAGCAGGCATGGAGGAGATCCAGGCTCCAGACATCCAGAGGCCCCAGAGTGCGAGAGCCCAAGGAGGACCACCGGAGGGGCATCCGTGCCACCCTCCTGGGAAGAGCTGAGGAGAGCCCCAGATGAGGGGTCACCCAGTAGCCACGGAGCAGAAGCCAGAGGGGGCTGCAGTGGCGTGCCCGCCGGCTCTGCCGGCAGCCAGCTGTGCCAGAGTGAACCGAGCCGCAGGCCCAGAGGCCGGAGGCCCGAGGGCCCCCTTTGCCCCGGAAGAGGCCTGACCGGAACAGTGAACACCTGTGTGCACACCTGTGTGGATCAGCGCGCTTGTATTCAAAAGATTTCCCATGTAATGGTCTGCTAGTGCACTGAAGATGGCGGCGAGTATGGCAGCCTCGTCGCGAGCTCCCCCAAGCAACAGCTGTTTTCTATGTTTAATTTTACTTTTACTTTATTTTTTCACGACTAGCACATGTCTCCTTGTGTATGACCAACAAACTTTACTGGACATAAAAGACGGTCTTTCTTATAACTTTCCGGAGTTCAAGTTTTGCAACACGGACGCTCCGTTTGCAGACCCCCCATTCATCTCACCTGAGACGCCTTTGTTCTCTGTCCCTGGAGGCCGCAAACGCCGAGGGAGAAGATCTGGCGTTCTGGTTCGACTGAGACGGCGCACTAACAGACCACCGTTACCCAGTTTATTACTGGCTAATGTGCAGTCTCTGGAGAACAAGCTGTGCGAGCTTTGGGCACGGATCTCATTCCAGCGAGAGATGCGGGACTGCTGCGTGATCTGCCTCACAGAAACCTGGCTATCGGACAAGGTACCGGACTCTGCAATACAACTACCGGGGTTCTCCGTGCACCACGCGGACAGGTATTTATTAGTTTCAGATGTAGCCATTCTTGTATTTTGCTTGTTTACATTATTGTATTTTGCACAACTCTGTTGCTTGTGAAGCTCGCACACAAGAATTTCACCGCTCTGTTACCACCTCAGTGTCTTACTCCATTGCCTGTTCAGTTAACGGCTCAGTCATTATTAGCTCTGTCATTACCTCTGTCACCAGCTCAGTTCATAGCTCAGCAACCCAGCTCAGACACTGCAACCTCAGCTGGAAGCCTTTGTTGAGCTTTCTCCGCCAGCTGAGGACTGCGTGCTGCTGACACTCTTCTGGCGCTGTTGCGGCTCGGGGCACACCCTCCAGCCGCTCCTCGTCTCCACTGGCGGCTCAGGTCAGCCCGGCCAGCACCTCCTCGCCTCCGCTGGAGGGTCCGAGGGACCCGTTCAGCCATTGCCCGGTCCGGCCTCTGCATCAGCTGCACCCACGCCCGGTCCAGCTCCCGCATCGCCTTCAACGTCACCCAGTCCGGCTCCTGCATTGCCTTCGCCTGGTCTGGCTCCCTCGCCTGTGGCTGCCACGCCACCGTCTGGTCCTGCCTCGTCTGGTCCTGCCTCGTCTGGTCCTGCCTCGTCTGTTCTCTTCTCGGGAAGAGTTTGCCGCAATGGAGCGCCTCGGCATAGTGCAGCGCTCGAATAGTGCCTGGGCTTCTCCGCTACACATGGTGCCCAAGTCAGACGGTCGGTGGCGGCCGTGTGGGGATTTTCGCCGTTTGAATAATGTCACGGAGAATGACCGTTACCCCATTCCCCACATCCAGGATTTTTCCGCCCACCTCGCCGGCACCTCGATTTTTTCTAAAATTGACTTGGTGCGGGGGTATCACCAGGTTCCCGTGCGCGCCGAAGACGTCCCCAAAACTGCCGTTATTACCCCTTTCGGCCTGTTTGAATTTTTGCGCATGCCGTTCGGCCTGAAAGGCGCCGCCCAGACTTTTCAGCGGTTGATGGACTCCGTTTTGCGCGGGCTGCCTTTCGTCTTCGTGTACCTTGACGATATATTGGTGGCCAGCTGCTCTGAGAGTCAGCACGCGTCCCATCTGCATCAGGTTTTCCAGCGCTTGGCGGCACACGGCCTGATCGTCAACCCCTCCAAGTGCCAGTTCGGCTTGCCGGTTCTGGATTTCTTGGGCCACCGCATTTCCGCTGACGGTGTGGTTCCATTGCCAGACAAGGTCCGGGCCGTTTCGGCTTTTCCGCGTCCTGCGTCCGTTAAAGCGCTGCAGGAGTTCTTGGGGATGGTCAATTTCCACAACCGCTTTCTCCCCAGAGCTGCGCACCTGCTGCAGCCTCTCTATGCTGCCTTGAAGGGTAAAACAGCTAAGGACCCGATTGATTGGCTCCCTGAACGCATCCAGGCATTTTCTGGGGCCAAGACCGCGCTGGCAAACGCCGCCCTGCTGACCTACCCGTTTCCATCGGCGGAGATTGCATTGACCTCCGACGCGTCGGACGTGGCAGTGGGCACAGTGTTAGAACAGCGGGTCTCCAGCAAATATAACGTTTTTGACAGGGAGTTGCTGGCCCTACACCTCGCCACACGGCATTTTCGTTTTTTTCTCGAGGGTCGGAGCTTCACCGCGTACGTCGATCATAAACCTTTGACATTCGCAATGTCCAAGGTCTCTGATCCGTGGAGCGGGCGCCAGCAGCGCCAGTTGGCAGCCATTTCCGAGTTCACAACGGACATTCAGCACGTGGCTGGTAAGTCCAACTGCGTGGCTGACTGTCTATCCCGCGTGCTGGTTTCTCCTGTTTATGTTGGCATAGACGTTGAGGCTATGGCCGCTGACCAACAGGCCGACCCAGACGTCCTTGCCCTTCGGTCTGCGCAAACGTGCCTTGTACTGGAGGACAGACTAGTGTGGAACGGCGGGCCTAGCCTGCTTTGCGATGTTTCCACCAGCCGTCCACGCCCTGTAGTTCCCCTTTCGTGGCGTCGTCGCGTTTTCGACTCCGTACACGCCCTCTCTCATCCAGGCGTCCGGGCCTCGGTCAAGCTGGACAGCTCTAGGTTCGTTTGGCCGGGCCTTCGTAAATCGGTGAAAGACTGGGCAGCCGCGTGCATCCCATGCCAACGCGCTAAGATCCATAGGCACACACAGGCGCCCCTCGAATCCTTCCGCGTTCCAGGGAGGCGTTTTGATCATGTGCATGTGGATCTGGTTGGTCCTCTGCCGCAGTCACAAGGTTTCACGCACCTTTTGACTGTAGTGGACCGCACAACCCGCTGGCCTGAGGCAGTGCCTCTGGCGTCCACTACAGCAGCAGCAGTGGCCAGGGCATTTTTGTCAACGTGGGTTTCGCGTTTCGGTCCCCCCGCCGACATTACCTCAGACAGGGGCCCCCAGTTCGTTTCCGAGCTTTGGTCTGCCATGGCTGACGGCCTGGGGGTCAAGGTCCACCGCACCACTGCGTACCACCCGCAGGCCAACGGGATGTGCGAACGTTTCCACCGGTCGCTTAAGGCCGCGTTCCGTGCTTCTCTCACAGATGGCAACTGGGTTGACCGCCTTCCATGGGTTTTACTGGGGTTGCGCTGCGCGGTTAAAGAAGACCTTGGGGTTTCCCCGGCTGAACTTGTCCTTGGTCAGCCCCTCCGGGTCCCCGGGGAATTCTTGCCTGAGAGCCCACCCCCGTGCTTCGCTCCCTCTGTGCTGTCTCTCCGTCCCCCAAGAGACTCGTTTTCTCTTCCTGGCCCAGTGCACCATTGTGTGCCTGACACCTTTGTTCCGAGGTCGTTGGACTCTTCGCAGTTTGTTTTTGTCAGGCATGACGCTCATAGGCCTCCGCTGTGTCCACTGTATGACGGCCCCTTTCGGGTTATTCAACCGGGCCGGAAGCATTTCCTTTTGGATTTTGGGGGTCTGTTTCTATTGACAGACTTAAACCAGCACATGTGCTTCTGGATGACCAGGTGGTGCCGGCTCAGGCCCCCCGCCGTGGCCGCCCGCCTTCCACTGGACTGGACAACCCTGCTTCTTCCTCTGGGAGCGCCCCCCACCTGGCGGGGCCCGAGCTATCTTCAGTTTTTCCTGACCGCCCGTGCCAGCCTGGCCCTCAGGCTCGTTTCCCCTCCGCCAGCTCTCCACCTCCCCGGTTCAGCCGTTCTGGACGTTTAATTAAAGCAAGGGTTCTGGACTAGGGGATGACCCTACTGGGTGTTCGGGGGGGGCATGTGTGGTGGACCACTGGAGGGCTCCACTCACACCCAGTTCTCAGGAAGTGTTGTTGCTGTGTTTTGGAGGGAAAGTGTTCAGTTCTGTGGTGATGAGTAATAAACGAGCAGTGTTTATCGAGAGCTCTCGTGTCGTCTGTGTTTACCTCCACAATAGTAACATAAGCACTATAGTAAAATAAGCACTATAGTAACATAAGCACTATAGTAACATAAGCACTATAGTAAAATAAGCACTATAGTAAAATAAGCACTATAGTAACATAAGCACTATAGTAAAATAAGCACTATAGTAACATAAGCACTATAGTAAAATAAGCACTATAGTAAAATAAGCACTATAGTAAAATAAGCACTATAGTAAAATAAGCACTATAGTAACATAAGCACTATAG